TTTTTTTTTTTTTTTTTTTTTTTTTTTTTTTTTTTTTTTTTTTGTAAAGTTATAATAGTGTCCTGTGTTTGCTGGTGTAAGACTGTTGGGTCGGGCCTACGTCAGGTTCATACTAAGTTGGAATCAATGGACAGGTATTCTGCTACTTAGGTATACGTTTAGCTTTGCCATATCCTCTTTGTGCGTGTAAAGTCGCTACAACTGCCAAGAAAACATCTCATTTTAGCGGCTAACACAATTGATAGTAGCGTTTGCCATTGTCTGTCCTTAAGTTTAACAGTTGGTCAACTCAAACACCCACTTCCGTAGTCTTCGGAGCTATGGTGTTCACGGAAACATCCGCAGTAAACTGGTGCCTAGCTGATAATGAACCAACCTTTGCCACAATATAAGCACTGTGTAATATAGCTATAATTCATCAGTCATGGGTATGTTTATATAACAATGGTATGATATCATTAGGGAAACGGTGCCATGCAAAAAGTACACGTATATTATAGTTGCAGATATTGTGTTTCTTAGATCTCGAGTCAATATAGTATCGAAAGGTAAGGCATTGGTTCTTGTCCGTTACGTGATGTGAAATTTATCAGTATACCAATTTTCATTTTTAATGACAAGATTTCTCTTCTTGGTCACAACAACATTGTGAATGTTGGATAAAGTAACGTGTGGGAATGTGACTTGACAACACTTAAAAGAATCGCTGACTAGTCATCTTGCGTAGGATATTCCATATTGCCCTCTGGAGTCATTTGTCACAATTTTACATACATTCAAGGTGAGTATTTGCTGTTGAGAGATAAGAAAAGAGCACTTTGTACATAAAATGTTGCGTGGAAAATTAATGGAGTCTGTGGAAGCAATTCTGGTTGGATTTCTCATGCTGGAAAGCAATGTGTTTAGCCTTGGAAAAAAGCATATCCGAACGCTCACTAAAACATTTGCTTCCAGTGCGTATTAAAAAGGCAATGTTACTATTGATGAACCTCACGCCATGTTCAATTTTACAGGGATGGTTTGATATGAACTGCCAGAGGCGAGAATTTAAACCCTAGTCTATTTATATCAAAGGAAAAAAAAGAAAAAAAGGAAAGAGTAATAACTACATGTAGCATTATTTGTAATACATCTGGCTGGTGTGATTTATTGTGTGAACACTTTAGAAGAAATATATAACAAGAAACATATGTAATGTAATTGTCAAACTGTCTTCATTTATCTGTAGAATTTATTCTAAATATATTCCCTGGTTCGGTGTTTAAGACCTCCTGTTAAATTAAAGAAATTGTGGAAATCACAAAAAAGTGCAAATTAGATGCCAAGGATTGTATCCCATAGTCAGACACGTGTGCACTCTTACAGAATAAGAAACTAAACAGATAGCAAGTAGGATCATCTTTGGCTGTTCTTTTGCCTCTTAAGTGGTTTTTTCTTTGATGGTATGCCTCCCACTTTAATTAAAACAAGTGCTGTCAATTAAACTCAAGAAGAGGAGATATTTCACGAGCCTTCCTCTTGACTCAAGCTTGAACAAAGTTCTTTTGATGTGAGATTTTGTGTACCGACAACAAACGGCAACTCGTGTTTTTTTACCCCTTTCTACTTCTCTTTATTCTTTTTGTCACTGCTATACACTATTTAATTTATTTCGCTATTTATCTCATTTTATAATATTTCATACTTTCAGAATGAATATATGTATTTTAAGTAAGTGTTATTGTAGATGACAAGGCTGTGTCCATTACTTGGGCAGGAACATTTGAATAACTAAAGGGACTGGATAACAGATCACCAAGCTCGTATTAGAAGATATGGCAGAAGTCTTTTTTCACGTGAGTGTAACCCAGATATGTAAGTAACTGTGTTCTGATAATCTCAATTTTGATTTATTTCATAACTGGAATAGAATTTGACATTCACTTTGCCAAATGGCAAACGCATTTGTGAAAAATAAGGTCACGCTTTTGTTGCTTAATGTAGAGATGCCTGGCTCCAATCCATGAAAGGTAATTAACAAAATGTCTCTTCCTCAATCCCACTCACCGTTAAAAACGAATTAAAATATCACCGATGAATTTCTTCGTTTATTTTCATATCACTTGCCACGATCAAAGATCACTTAAGACCATCTGTGTAAACTGAACTGTGCCTGCGTATTGTTTATTAAAGAGACCCAGGTGGTCCATGGCATGGATGCTAAGCGGTATGTCACGGACTGTGGAGAGGTGCTAGGTTTATCTCTAGGACGAACATCAGCGCCTGTTGGTAATGTGTTAACACTTCACCGTTTGAGTCTCGCGCATGGGTGAGCGTGATACGTCGAAATTCGAGAAACGCAAAGACACAGAGCCTACAAGCGGAGGGGAACGCTTGGTAGACGCTGGAAGAGTCTGCGCTGGATAATATTTTAGATATATGAAGACAGATTGATAGCACCCTGACTGAGATGGCTACTTTATTTACGTTTCGAGTTTTTAAGAAGCCATTTTGTGAAGCCGTAGACGCGTGTTGCATTCCGTAAACGCCATCGCTTCACTGAAATCCCCGATTCGGACGCGCATCTGCCTCTTGTAATTTATTTGAGTGATAATGTTTTCGTAGACAAGAAAATCCTTCGAACTGTAAACTGTTGAGTCACTCCGTCCAGGTTTCTAGCCGTCAGCGCCTCTTGTAGCACACTCACACGACGCTGTGTCGAGCAATTTCCCTGCACGCCATATAGCCTCAACATATTGTTTCCTTTTATTCTGCATATTCAGAAAACGCCAACAGCCATCTGCTTGAAATCTCATTAGCCTCTCCGCCAGAACTGCAGTAAATATCAATAAACTTGCCATCCACCTGGGCATGTTCGGAGTGTGCATTACAGGAAATATCATAGTAAACCAACCCCTTGGGTCATTATTCATGGTATTTATTTGGCTAAGGAGTCCTACACCTGATTATTACTATGAAATACGAGGCTCGGCTTCGCTGGAATCTTGCAGTCGCAGCTGAGTGAAGGGCAAGAAAGTAGTAGATTATTGGGAGTTTCCGATTCACGCTGCTACTTGGAGTGACTTATTGCCGATTGAAAGGTTAGTAAAGTTTATTGGATTTCTCTCTCTTTCTCTCTCTCTCTCTCTCTCTCTAGCTCTTTCTCTCTTCTTATGCCTCTTCCTCTTCCTTTTTTTCTTTTTTTTGGAGTTAATGACATAAAAAATGGAACCCTTGTCTGCCATTGTATGCTCTTTGAAAGAATTCATATTTAATCAAATGGCTAAGAGCAGACTTTGTAATAACGTAAGGGGAGATATTATTTTTGAACTGCTCTTAAAGCACGACCGATTAGAAATTTGCAAACGCGAACAGATGCTCCATACTTGTTTTAATAACGAAAGAAATGCATATGAACTCACAGCTGTTTTGCTGGTGCCCGAGTCCCGACCCAGCCAACGAAGCATATGTTGATTACCTAGATTTCCCCCTACTGCTCGGAAAAATTTGTTTTCTAGAAGTACAGGAATCTCACCTTGCACGAAACATCGGGCAATTACTAGGAATTATCGGGTTACTGCGGAAATTACAGTGTTACCAGTCACAAGAAGTTAAATGCATATGCAAGATGCGGTGCATTATTTCATTTTATGGCATTAATTCACGCAAAAGTGATTTCCCTGCAGCGGGGGCTTTTAGCTTTTAGTAATTTTGCGTTCATTTGCGGTCTACTGTACTTTTTCGGCACTTTTCACTTAACTCAAATATTCGATATTTCCCTTTTCTCCAGTCTGCGAATATATATTGTACTTAATTTTGCTTAACAGATAAATGCAAAATAAAACGCCCCACTGCACCACAATTAGGGGGATTTATTATTTGAATGCCTAGTTTTTCAAAGCCTAAAATAGCGCTGTCGTAAACGGTAATTTACGGTGCATTTTTTTGGAAAATTGTAAACTCCGTGCTATAGCGCGGTTTTCAGGAAATTAAAAAGTAGATGAAAAAATCCCGCAGGCAATTTGGCTGATAAATATCTGTTTTAAAGTGTTTCAAGGCTAATTTCGGTTTTTGTTCTTCCTCTTTCTATGGTTATTTTGTTTGAAACACATACGCAATTGCAAATTAGACAATCCCTATCTCAAACTGTGGTTCAAATGTTTGAGGTCTGTTTTTAATGCATGGAAATTATTTGGTAAACGCATAATTTCATTCCAGTGAAGTAAACGTTCACTTTGCTGCAATACTTCTCTGTTTTGCTGCAAAAATATTATGAAGAATAGAATAAATGTGTGTATATTTTAAAATATTTATGCATATATTTTGAAGGACGGGTTTTATTTTAATCATTATTATGTATTATTATATATATTCGTGTATTTTTGTTTACTTATTATCATCCTATTTTTGCATGAAATATGAAATCAAATTAACAATCAGTGTGAATCGAAACTTAAAGCAGTTTGTGTATTTGATTTTCAGTTTTTCCTGCTTACGGATTGATAGCTTAAGGATTCTTTCTCCATTCATCAGTTGTGTTGTTCGTATTCAGAGGAGGATATTGGGGTGCCAATGGGTCGCAGAGATGACGACGGTGGCGGGAGGCGAAGGTCAAGGTCGTCAGGAAGTAGGTCAGGTCGCGCAGGCCGAGACCAAAAATGTGCCAAACAAAAAGAGAAGCGTCACGCCAAGAAAGGCGAATGGCGACACGTGAAAAGCCAACACCTCAAACGACGCTTCGACATGCACGGTCACCACTCACACCATTCCCATAAATCCAGCAACACCGTCGGAGGACTTGTTAAATTGACTGCCCCCAATCCATCGATGTACACCCACCAAAACAGCACAATCTCCACGTCCAGTTCTGACATTGAGACTCAAGAAACTCCCACGAGGCGAAAAACTCACCGTGGGATAAGTCACATTTCTGAGGTGTCCCTTATGTCGGACAGCTCTGAAAAGCAGAACAAAAGTGGTCGTAAATGTTGCCGGATATCAGTGAATTGTATTTGTAAATTTCTGGGTGGTGTTGGCGCACTGGCCGTGGTCGGGGTACTTCTGCTGTTGTTTTTATTGTAGCGGCGCAAATTGACGGTGATCTTCAATTAATTGTATGGATCTGATCTTAAAACTCGATTTTAAAAAATGAAAGGACAGAAAGGTTTACTCTACATTAACCACGCACACCGATACAAAATGCGACGGGATTTATGCTGCATGTACGTGTACAGTAACGAAAATGTGAAAACAAAAAATGTAAACTTCATATTAGCGGATAGAGTGGATGGTGCTGTGTTCAATGTTGACCAGAATGAGGACCCTCTTGTGGAAAACAGGCATCATTGATATAAGAATGCAATTTGAAACAAAACAATAAACAAGATGGAATAGAAAAACACGGTTATCCATACATGTACCACCAGCAACATATACCTTTTTCATGGAGGTTTATATTAACTCCACATCTGCAAACATTTTTCATTAACCCTCGGATTAGATTTGCGGTGAGGATAATGATGTCAACGTGAGTAATTTCCCTTTAAATGAGAGGAAATAGGAATATATTTTTAATAGATAATGTAACCCATGCTTAAAAAAAACAAAAAGTAAAAACAAATAAATAAAAAGCTTTATTTTTTAGTAATGAACATTGCGTTTCTTTCCACACTTCAGCCGGAGAGCTATCTCAATGTTGGTCGAGTGACCTTTGGATTTCACCGTTTGTTTATCCACGAGATCCCATTTGTTTTTCTATGTCATTGCCTTGATGGGCTTTGTCGGCACCAACGAGTGCACCATGTGGGGAAGGTATTTTGTGGCTGGAGGAGTTTACTCAGTCGGACGCATACATCCAATAAAAAGAGGAGATATGGGAACGCACTGCGTTGAAGTAGTCGGCGTGGAGCGCGGTGCAAAGATGCCGGGTATTTGCTGTCCATTGGTTTTTGCCATAATAGGATGGACTGTGAATGTTAATTATCATTCAGGGTCGTTGATATTTTAATGAATAATATATGTTTTAGACGAGAATGTATTTGAATGGTTCAACTATCAATACCACTTTTTGAAAACATCTCAGAATGTTTTTTTTTTATGCACAGACACAGATTTGTCTGTACATATAGCTGTCACCTGCGTCTGTCATCTGCGTCTGTCATCGACGTCGTTGTCGCCGTCGTCGCCGTGCACTATTTGACCGTTTGTCTTGAAACTTACAGCACTGTTGAATATTCATAAAATACAGGTCAAATTCGAAAATCAGCTTTATCGGATCATTTTTCCTAAAGTTATGCGATTTTCTCATCTTTTCAAGCATATTTTATCCACGGTTATTATAAAAATAAAATGAAAATTGTTTCATCTTTTGTCTTCAAAGTTACAGAACTGATGAATATTCATAAAATGCAAGTTAAGTTCGAAAATCATCTTGACCATTTTTTTCTTTTTTAGCATATTCTATCCTTCGTAATAGAAATAACATAAAAACCGGGGGAAAAACCTCTTGCAGGACTGACTAATAGTACTAATGTGCAGATCAAATTCGAAAATTATCTTGATCGGTTTTGTTTTGATGAAGTTATGCTTTTTTTATTAAATGTTGTATGCAGTTGGTTCCTCCTGAGATTCAGTGCTTAGACACGTTATCAGTCTCATTATTGAACTTATTACACACCCAAGTGTTCTTTTGAAATTTTCTGCATCTTAACAATTTTGTTAGTTGATTATATGAAATTATGGTAAAACTATTATGGTGTATTGTGCAATAAAAAGTCATAAATGGATATAAATTCATATCAGTGCAGTTAGTCAGATTTAACCCTTCACTTTCTTCAGAATCTTAGAATGGAGCAAATTAGAAATTCAAAATCGTTCTATTGATATTTTTTGTGCTATTGATATTTTCATCTCAACATTTTTTTAGTTGATTAAATAAAAAGGATAGTTATATATTTATTATTTTTTTGTATTATGTAAAAAAGTGGACCTTTCCTATTATATGTCTGTATATTTGACAGCTTTGCTGCCTTTTTTTTTTTTTTACTCTTTTAAAATACGTCAGGAGGTAGGGTGTACATTTCTAGAAAACAACTTTCTATTTATTTATTTATCATAAGCAACATAGTTTCAATATATGATCTGCCAACAAAAATATTAATTAAACCAAAAATGATATTGACATAGGGAATGTTGAACACACAACTCCTTTTTACTGATTACGTAATTTTATTAAAAGTATTTATGTTTTTAAGACGATTTTATTCTGTAATTTTGATCGCCTTTTTATTGCGTATATCAAGCAATTTTTTCCAAAGTAGCCTTTCCTTTCGTCAAGTTTTAGAGATACACTAAGAAACCACAGTCTTCAGGTGTTCATGACCACACTTTGAATGCTTTAATCATTAAAACATCTCATACGGACTGCTGATTTTTGCGAAAACAAACATCCGCCAGTATAAACAATCGCCCCATTTTACTCACATTTTAGATACGATTTAAACAAAGTAAGAAGTCCGTTAATGTCGCACATGTTGGTTGGCTGGCTAAATATGTACATACGCAGTTGGTAACAATCCCTTGAAAATGTCAACGGCATTAAAGATAATTTATCCTGTTGAAAACTTTGTTGTTGCATGTTTGGTTCCTAGAAACGCAATTATGAATGAAGTGGGGGTTGCTATAGACCTTGTGATATTTCCTGTGGTTATTTTGTTTTGCCAATTTGCATGATCTGCATAGTTGGGTCCTGGGATTAGAAATCTATTTTACGGACAGACGCCTTCGCTCATAGGTAGACTTCACAGTTCTTTACATAAAGTTGTGGCATTGGCATTAGAAAAACAATACTTAAGTCCTGGAAAAATAAAACCAATAACAGTGACTGTAAAAATAATGCTACATGTACATTCTCAACTTTGAAAACAATGTTACCCGAGCTCAGTACCAAAGCGCTTATTTACTTTTGCATTTATCTTTCATTATTACTATTAGTTTGCAGCTAATGGTGGAAGAAATCGAATAGAATCGGTTTTAGTGAAAAAGCGTAAATCAAACACCAGGATTTTTTTCACAAACCACAATATACTGTACTCGTAACTTCACACATTGGCGCGGAGTATGGACTTCTGTCTTGTTAGAAAGTAATATACAAGGTTTAGTTCATTACACGTATAGTTCAACACGGTATGTTGGTGGTAGTTCGACTATTACATTGATATACGGCAATAGTTGAGTGTCAGAATAAATCCAATTTACTGTGTTTTACGCCCCAAAAACGGGGGTTTAAAATGAGAAATGCACAAAGATTTTCTACTTTTTGGTTGGAAGAGACGTGGAACAATGCTGTTTTATCTTTGACGTACAGCTAAATAATATCATAGACATTCAGCGGTAAAGTTGGAACGTTTGCATAAGGTAGGACTCTATTTTATAGTGTTTCTTTGTCTTCATCGTTGTGTTTTAGCATTAATGTTCAACGACTGCTCTCACGCCGGCGTTGCTTCTCTGCCAAATAGAATCCAGCTGAATAATGTACTCAGAACTTGGCTGTAGTAAATATATTTTGATTCTAGCCTTGTATATAAATTTTCTTGTCGGAATGCAAAATAATAAAACGCTGACAAATACAAAAGTAAAATATTTGGTTGCACTCAAAGAAATAGCTTTTTATATTTCTATGGTTGCATCAGAATGGGCAGGGACGACGACAGACGCCATCGGCGACGCGGCGGCCATTGCGCTAGAAAACAAAAAGATGACGAAAAAAGAGCCGCTAAAAAGGGCCAATGGGGACGCGTCTCTAATCCTCATCTTAAGCGCAGATACGGCGACAGTCCCCACGATGGCTCAGCTGTGCTGATTGGTGGACTGCAAGGATCTCCATCGCGTGCCAAGACGAAAGCAACAGTGGCATCTGTGATTCCAAAGACTAAGTTTTCAAATGACGCAAATGTGTATGGTTCGTCTACAGTACGAGTTGACAACGTACCGTCAACTGGGTCGTCAACAAAATGTCAAAGAGGTGACACTCACGTCGAGGAATTGATGTCGGACCTGCCATTATGGTTGGACGATGATAACCCAAATGTTTTCCAAACGAAGTGTAAAGTCAGATGGAACACAGTGTGTAAATGTTTAGGTGGCTTTGGGTCGTTCGCAGTCGTGGCGACTCTTCTTCTTATATTTTTACTTTAATGCTAAATATGCTGTGATTTTACTCGACATTTGATAATACACCCAAATGCGTCCTCCTTAACCCGGTGAAAAGGGAGTATGACGGCGACTTTGATTAAGATTTAACCATTTGTAAAATGTTGCTTCTTCTTCATAAGAACATTCTACAACATTGTTCGTCACTAGCTGAAAAGGCTTTTCTTCTTTTAACACATTACCCAAAAAAGGGTATTACTTACACATGGTATTTTTCTTATAGTGAATAATGGTAAACATACATTATGAAAATACTCGACAATATTTTGTCAAAGAAACATAATGCGGTTGGTTTATATTGGAAAACTGTAGTGTACATTTCTGAGCGGAAAGTATACCTAACGATTAAGTTTATGTGAGGTGGCAGTGTTACTGAAACATAATGAACATTATTTATACTTTAAATGACAAGATTTATTTTTACCAGAACTTTCTCTATTTATCTGTTTATATTCTATGTATTCCACCTCATTTCATTTTATTCTATTTTATTTCATTTCATAATATTTCATTTATCAAAGTTTGGAACGTTTCTGGGGGCTTACCTGTATATAAATGTCACCATTCTATACAGAACAAAAGACTCCGAAAGTACATGTATTTTTACTAAGTCATATTTCTCCATAGTGCGTACGCGCGTGTGTGTTAGCATGTGCGCATTACGTGTATTCTGGTAATTGCGTTTCATAATTCACGTAACACCTTGCCGTTCCCCTAGGCACGAACACCTCCGCGCATTTTTGTGCCCTGATCAGTTAAATCAACGTGCAGCTATATCACAGGGAGAAAGTTAGGGGGAAATGAAAAACCATCCCTTATTGATCCTGCGTTCACACCGAGACGTCTGGCACTATCAACGGGACGCCCTTATAATTCGGTCGATTGCCCGTTTTATCTATGGGATGAAATCAAGCCAGCATCAACCCCGACTGTAACAGCGTAGTTAGAATGGTTTTATCTCTGCAAGAGGCTTAATATGATTACAGCATATTACTATGAAGGGGAATAAATACAGATCGGTCGTACGATAGTTTCGAAAACATAGTAATGGAGATGGAGTACGCTCAGCTGTTACCAATATCAAGTGTCGACAAGGTGCCGAGCTCGATGCAACTCCCTATTCGTAATCTGCGTGTAGCAATACCCTGTTTCGATTTACCCTGTCAAATTGTGTAATGTACCGATCGTATTGAATTAGCGTGTTTAGTAGTACGTTGCTTTAACTTTGATTTCTTGCGATCGGCTCAGGCATTGCCCTTTTGAAATTGCCGTCGCCCCTATGTTTCAAGGCATTTCGAATTATCGCCGCATGTTCATCCAAATTGCATTCCGTCTAATATGGTAAATGTTAAGGTTATGCCATTCACGTCTT